AACTTCCTTCAGTGTCAGAAAAAGAAAAACTACCTACATTTATGTTACCTATTCTCTTTTTTACTTAGTATTATTTGGTTCTTACTTAGTATTAGTTGCTCATATAGACTAATTGCTTTTGTTTTCGAGAACGTTGTGGTTTGATACTTTTATTTTGATGAATAATTACACTTTTCATGCTAAACTTGTGTATTTTTTTACATGTATGAATCTGCCCCATAGCCTGTATGAGAATGCCCCGTATGTGGGGTACATTCATACATTTTAATTATTTCTTTAAAACTTTTATTAAAAGTCGCACATGTGTATTTACACAAATTACATGTTTTTGAAATAAAGTCAGATAGTTAAACTACTAGTTTTTGATGAATCGATACAGATATTGATACCAGAGTAAATTCTATAACACGAAATATAAAAACTGTATGAGGCTGCCCCACCTTCCCCTACTCTAAATCAAAATTTATCGATGGTCACACTTCTAATGTTTATTCATTGTTCTGTGTATTAACCTTACGTAGCATTGGAGACTTCCAAATATGCGTACCTAGCGACTTTATAATCTTTATTTACGACAAATTGCCTTCGTCCTCTTTCATAACAAATTACGTATCATAATAGTTTATTTATCATTGTTCATAACTGTCATGGATATAGGTAGTAACTTAGGTTATTTATTGTAATAAAACAAGAGAGTGAATGGTGACGTGTGTGTCAAGAGAGGGTAAGTAGGTACCTAATCTGTATACCTAGTTTGCATTTTAAAAGTTTTGGGTAAGTATTTGTAAATATTAGAGATTTACAAGACTTACAAACTGCCTTCCCTTTACTGGCCCATCTTTAAATAATCAGTTATTTTCACAGATAAAGCTAGAGTTATAAAACAATTATAGAACTGATTTAAGAAATCATCATCATCATCATCACATCAACAGCCTATACTAGTCCACTGCTGGACATAGGCCTCTCCTTAGAAAGGAGGTTTTGGACTACTATACCACGCTTCCCAGACGGGTTGGTATAGGGTTTGTTTCAAGTTTTCCTTCTCTCTGCTGTGCTGTTGTCCTGCTTAGTTTTTTCCGTTAGTCGGCTCTTACGACACCCACAGGATGAATAGGGGTGGTGACACTCTGTATTCTTAAACCGTCACCACACGGACCATAAGTATGTTTATAAACCATTAAAAGTATTTTGAATCTGTATTTTCAAAAAAAAAATTGACGTTTAAGAAAACGTGAACACCTGAACCACTCTGTCTGGCGGGCCACGGCCTCCCGGTTATGTTAAATTTTGTCGTGGGTGTCGTAAGAGCCGACTAAGGAGTCGGCTCTTACGACACCCACGACAAAATTTAAGAAATTGTAAAATAATAATTTCAAAAAAAATATAGCAATTTAAATGAGGTCCCTCAATCCTTACTTAAGGGAAAACCAAACCAAACCTTACTATTTCCTGTTAAATATAATACTTTTCCTGCTAAATCTAATTCTCATATTTATCCCAAATATTATTTTTTACAAAAATTAAAATATTCATCAAGATTAACAAATATTCAAAACTTTTATAAATGTTTTATAAATATGTTTTCCCTCAATCATTACTGTATGGATTGAGGTTCATGGTGTTTTGAAAAAGTGGCTATTTGTATAAAATTTATTTAGCAGCAAGATTTAGTCAAAGTTGTCCAATAATTTGTAAAAAACAAAAATTTCTGAAAACCGGTGTTAAGCAATTCTTTCGTTGCCTTGCACTGAGTGAGTGAGGTTACCGCAGCCCAAATCTCCCTGGCGGTGACTCGAGCGGGAGGGACTCCAAGGGCAGCAACGCACTTGTGACTTTTGAGTTGCAGGTGTCCATGGGCGGCAGTAGAAGCTTACCATCAGGTGACCCAATCACCAATGAAAAATCACGGTTTAACAATTATCACTCTAGAAACTATGTCACTCAATCCTGATGCCTACAAAAACACTTACTAGTAGCTCACTGGCAACTGTAAATAAATAACTAATTACGAATATAAATTTTAGTAGTAATTTTCTACTAAAATGTTATACAGTTATTGAACTAGAAGATTCGTTATTTATCAAAATATTAACTTATCAATATTCCTAAAACTAAATATGTATAGGGTGACCATTAATTAGATAAACTTTATAAGGATTTTAAGCTTTCATACATTATAATCACACAATTGTTACTTGCTTTCAATGCAAAAATAAATTTCATACACATTTTCAAAACACCATGACCCTCAATCCTCAAATGTAAGGATTTAGGGATATATTTAAAACATTTAAAGAAGTTTGTTAATTTTGATGAATATTTTGGGCAGTGTTTATCTATATTTTTAACTAAAATATGAATTTTAGAATTAGCTTCTCCTTGCATAATTATTTTACCATGAAATAGGTATCCTTGAGTAAGGATTAAAAGACCTCATTGATTTGGTAATTTTTTAATTATTATTTATTCATTTATAACTTTATGCACATTTGTACATCGGCGGACTTAATGCCCAAGGCATTTTCACCCAGCCAACCTTTAGGTAGTGTAGAAATCGTGAGTGGTATTATTTTACAAAAGCGTAAATCGGTGTTTTATAACTTCTACTAAATCTAGATAACATTTGTTTATCGATTCACGATTAGTACCCTCAATCCTCACGGACACATATCTAAAGGGTCACGTTCAACACGCTCTAAGAAACTCTAGGTTAGAATTATAAAACTTCTGTTTTTAAATATCAAATTATTTATTACTTTAAAATATAATATATAACATATAATAATATACCTCACACATTTCACACGCGGCCGTCTGATTCCAAACTAGGCAGAGCTCGTGCTATGGTAACCAAACTGCTGATAAACATACTTATATATTTTTAAATACATACATATTATAGATAAATTACACACAGACACAGAACAAATGATCATGCTCATTTGTTCTATGTCTGACAAAAATAGTGTGATCACAATATTTGTCCAGGGTGGGAATTGAACCCACGACCTCCGGCTTCGCAGTCAGGGGCACTAATCACTAGACCCGTCGAAAAAAATGATTGTACTTAAAGTAAATGTTAATACCTACTTAATGAAAGGTACCTGGATACCTATTAGGTATATGATATGCTCTCAATAAAAATTACATTAATGTTTCTTCATTAGACGATCCTGCTTGAACGAAACCGATGGCGATCGATACCTACTCGACGATACATCACCGACAGCTACATTCCTCATTTCGATAGCACACGACTGCGACCCGATACGACGCCACAAATATAATTTAAAATAAAATATAAATTTATTCTATACTAGCTGAGACCCGCGGTGTTACACGCGTTTGTTGTTATAACCGCGGGCAACGCCACGGGGCGAAGCTAGTCTAAAAAAAGTAGCCTAAGTTACTCCTTATGTCATCAGCTATCTGGAAGTGAAAGTCCCGTCGAAATCGGTCCAGCCGTTCCAGAGATTACCCGGAACAAACAGACAGACAGACAAAAATTGTAAATAATGTTATTTTGGCATATGTACCGTGTAAACATACATATGCATTTAGTAAAAAGCGGTTATTTTAATATTACAAACAGACACTCCGATTTTATTTATTTGTATAGATTTACAAACCAACCAAAAGGAAGGTGTATTCATTACCTATAAATGAATACATAGATACAATAAGTAATGATATAAGGAGTAAAATATACACTTAGTCGATGGTAGATAGATTGCTGTGCTCGCTTTTATTTAAGGTACCTAAGTAAAAAAGAGATAGATGCGCTGTGCAAACGTGCAAATTACTTAGTGACGGTAAGATAAAGTCCACAAACCAAAGTAGACCCCGCCTTCCAATCTAGGTATTCCTGTAACTTAGAAGACAGTATTCCGCTGATGGCTCGTTCACGGTTGTACAGACTGTTATCCGGCTAATAAATTTAAAATAAAAGGCAGTAATGTGGTAAAACTTGTAATGGCTGATCAGTACAGATTGAAGTCCCCAATGGTAATGTACCGACATCTATGTAATATATACACATAAGCTTAACGAGACAAAAAAGTAAATAGACGCACTATTGCGCACGCGAATTGAGTAGGCGCTTAAACATGCCCCCGGACGTTGAAAGATACGCTTTCAACCATCAGTAGGAATGGGTATAGTGTGACTGTAAATGAGTAGGTATGTATAAAGAAGGGATCGGTGTTGTTTAATAATAATGTGTAGGAATCTATTTTCTTTTTTTACATTAAGAGACTTATTGTGCTTATATTGTGTGAGTAAAGCAATGCTTTGGTCTGCCGTAGTCCTGTTCTAGTCACTATCCATACTAATATTATAAATGCGAGTGTATTTGCCTGTCTGTCTGTCCTCATCACGCTTAAAGTTGTCAGTTGCCCACTCTGCCTAATGGTTAATCCGGCCTTGATGACATCACGTCGAGTTAGATTTAATTTCGCCTTGTAAGTCACAACCACAAATAAAACAAAAATTATAACATAGCGTTTATTACAGCCTCGATTCTAAAATACATAGGATCTTCATTGAATACTGATTGCGTGGAAAAGGTAGATATCCATTGCTTAAAAACCTACATTAAACATTATTGTCCACGTAAGAGAACGTCGGAGTTGCACACACAGACACGGTTTCTTGCATTCATTATAATGATAAATGAAAAGAATAGAACATTTAAAAAAAGAACAGAGAGATTCAGATGTCTCATTTAACATCAGCTAAGATTACTGGATGCCAATTCTGTAAAAAGAAGTAAAAAATTGTATTCATAGAATTAACAATCTGATCAACAAACAAGTAAATGCTACTACACCCAGTCGTGAGTATGAATACAATTTCCTGAAGTTGAAAAATGATATTAAATACTAGTTCTTCACTAGGAAATAATTTATATGACATTGTATAAAAGCGCCATCTATTCGTAGAGTTAAGTACTAGCGGATAGTATCAAAGTTCAACGGTGTGCGAGATAGATGGAGCGTTTAGTTGGCGTCGAGGAAGTATTCCTGAGCAGCCTTGGTTTCGGGCTTGATGGTCTTGGAGCCTGGCTGCCAGTTGGCCGGGCACACCTCGCCGTGCTTATCTGTGTACTGGAAGGCTTGGACGAGGCGGAGAGTCTCCTCCACAGATCTGAAATTAACAAGTAATCGTTTTAATTTATATGTTACAACACTGAGGAAGGAAACTGCTGTGTAACACAATACTGGTACTATTTTAATATTTCATTTTTTTGAGTTAAAAAAAAAACTTGGTATTTTACAATTGTCCATTTATAAAAATAAAATTATTTGCAGAATATACGGTCTTATTTACGGTTATGTCCGTGTGGTGACGGATTAAGAATACAGAGTGTCACCACCCCTATTCATTCCGTGGGTGTCGTAAGAGGCGACTAAGGAAGCAAACTACGCAGGACAACAGCACTGCAAAGAGAAGGAAAACTTGACACAAACCCTATACCAACCCTGGTCTGGCCAGCGTGGTGTAGTAGGCCAAAACTTCCTTTCTAAGGAGAGGCCTATGTTCTGCAGTAGACTAGTAAAGGCTGTTGATGATTTACGGTTATATACGGTCATAAAAGTCTAAATTACGACAAATCATTGAAATTCTCGAATTTTCTCTACTATATGCATATACTATATACTATAATGTGCATATTTTATAAATATAAACCTTCCTCTTGAACCACTCTCTCTCTCTCTCTCTCTATTGATGACAACCAATCCGTTGCTTGGTTTAAAAGATCTAAGCGTACAAGAAACCAAAGGCGACTATATCTATACAAATAAATAAAATTGGAGTGTCTGTTTGTAACAGGAGTGTCTGTTTGTAATATTAAAATAACCGCTTTTTACTAAATGCATATGTATGTTTACACGGTACATATGCCAAAATAACATTTTTTACAATTTTTGTCTGTCTGTCTGTCTGTTTGTTCCGGGTAATATCTGGAACGGCTGGACCGATTTCGACGGGACTTTCACTGGCAGATAGCTGATGAAATAAGGAGTAACTTAGGCTAGGACTTTATTTAGACTAGCTTCGCCCCGCGGTTATAACAAACGCGGGGAACACCGCGGGTCTCAATTTTATTTATTTGTATAGAAAGTGAAACTGGTCGGGTCAAATTGTCTGTTTGTAATGTCAAAATCATAGGTTTTTTTCATGCTCACAAAATTATTTGTACGATACCTATGCCTGAAACCAGCTAAATTTTTTTTTGTCTGTCTTTCTGTTTATTCCGGGTAATCTTCTAAAGGGCTGGACCAAATTGAATTGAATTGGTTCTTCTCAAGCTAGCTCCTATTTTAATTTGATCAAAATATTTCACGTTAAATAGAGGAAAACTAAGAGATAAAAAACACAGTTTATTTCTATTTTTCATGATCAAGCCGGGGATACTTTTCTTTAAACTTAATAATTATCTCTCGACCCAAACACTTACAAGTGTAACAATTAAATAACATGTACAATACGGCTCACACAATACTGAAGGACATTCACTATCACGTGTGACAGGTGCAGAAAACGCGACGTGTTATCAAATATTTTATCAGATAATGGGGAAGTGGAATTTGAGAACATTATGTCGGATTATGTCATTCAATTATATACGTATAATAATGATTAAAAGATTAAGAAAACCTATGTATATTCATTATAATCTTATATATAAAATAATCGTGTCACAATGTTATAGATAGTTCAACTCAGTTGTGCGCGCGGCCCTATGTGTGCGTGGGCTTGTAAATATGTATATTTACAAGCCCACGCACACAACTGAGTTGAACTATCTATAGTTACCATACTCCTCCGAAACGGCTGGACCGATTTTTATGAAATTTTGTGTGCACATCGGGTAGGTCTGAGAATCGGCCAATTTCTATTTTTCATACCCCTAAATGACAAGGGTGACCCATCCCTAATTTTTTTTTTATATATTTCCTATAAATAACGTAAATGGCAAAACAACGTTTGCCGGGTCAGCTAGTTATATAATAGACCCGCGGTGTTACCCGCGTTTGTTGTTATAACCGCGGGCAACGCCGCGGGGCGAAGTTAGTCTAAAAAAAGTAGCCTTGTTACTTCTTATGTCATCAGCTATCTGCCAGTGAAAGTCCCGTCGAAATCGGTCCAGCCGTTCCAGAGATTACCCGGAACAAACAGACAGACAGACAGACAAAAATTGTAAAAAATGTAATTTGGCATATGTATCATGTAAACATACATATGCATTTACTAAAAAGCGGTTATTTTAATATTACAAACAGACACTCCAATTTTATTTATTTGTATAGATATAGACAGTCTCTACTTTGATGTCGTTGTAGGCTGTTATTTGGTCTGAAGATTAAGTGTACCTGCATTGAATCAGTTTTTTAATGAAATTTCATCGTGGACTGATTAATAGCAAAGCGAACCTTAATTCTTTATTGAGAAGTACAAGCAAAATACAAAGGAAGCCTTTCTTTTAGAGGGTAGTTATAGACTACTCTTACTGTCACCAAATGTGTTTTTTACAGAATGTTCTTGTTAGCCTTTCATAGTCCACTACTGGATATAGGCCTTTCCTTAGAAAGGAGGTTTTGACCTACTATACCACGATGTTCAGACGAGTTGGTATATGGTTTGTGTCAAGTTTTCCTTCTCTCAGCAGTGCTTTTGTCCTGCCTAGTATGCTTCCTTAGTCGGCTTTTACGACACTCGTGGGATGAATAGGGGTGGTGACACTCTGTTTTCTTAATTACAAGGACAAGATGTAGAAGGAATGTATGATTAGTGGGTACGTACCGTCCGACAGGCAGGTCGTTGACGGTGATCTGGCGGAGGTTCTGCTTGTCGTCGATGATGAAGAGGCCGCGGAAGGGGATCCCCGTCTCCTCGTTGAGTACGCCGTAGTCGCGCGCGATGTTGTGAGACTTGTCGCTGACCAGCGGGATGTTCATTGGGCCCAAACCTCCTGACATTTTAACATTCACATTGTACACTTTAAAATAACACAGGTTTATTGGACGAAGTTCCTTGTCGCGGGTTACGCGCTCTGAGCGGATGGAAGCGAGACCGAAAAATGTGTAACTAGACTTTTTTCCGACACTTCAGTTGGCGCGTCGACGGTCATATCTATTTCATACATAGTAAACGTCTACAGAAAAGCGAAAGGAACGCTGTTTTTTTTTATTATTATAGTGTTCACTCAAACCGTTCTTTGCCTATTTATAAATATCACATGGTGGTCGAATTTAGACCATAATTCAATATAGTTTTTTTTTTTTTTATTTCCTTTTCCATTATGACTTTAACTGTAACACAAGACTTTTCGTACAATAATTAGAGATACAACCTAATTAATTTTAAAAAGTATACCACTTTCATGTAACTTTATAATTTATACAGTATAAAAATATTAGCTCTGTGCAGTTGTTCTTTACATTAATGAAACTTGAGTGTATTAATAAACTTAATTTAAAAAAAAAAGTCACTTTTACAATAACTAGTCTAATACCATCAGTTTGATTGCGTCACTAACCGATAAACTGACGTGTATGGAGTAGATAGGTGCCTGACAGCTGACAACTGTTAGGGTAATGACTTTAACGATTATTTATGGTCTTCGTGCACTTGCAGACATTGTAAATATTACTTTTGTTGACTTTTTCATTAGTTTTACTAAGTTTTTTTTTTAAATACTTTTTGTTTTTTTTTTGTCAGTCACGGGATATATTCCTAGTATGGGACTAGGAATATATCCTGTGTCGCGACACACTTTACAAACATTTATGATAACACCCAGACTCAGACCAATGATTCAGTATGTGGTTTTATATTTTTAAATTTGAATCATTTAGTTTTTTTTTATAATAATATTCTACCACATTCACACAACGCCATCTAGTCCCAAACTAAGCAGAGCTTGTCCTATGGGTACTAGACAACTGACAGACAACAGACCAGACCAAACATTAAAGGTTCATGCACACAAATGTTTGACTTGAGCGGGAATCGAACCCGCGACCTTTGGAATAGCAGTCCGTTACACAAACCACTACGCCATCCGGTCGTCAAACGTAACATAAATTACTGATTAGTTTTAACTAAAACATAAGTTATGTTTCACGATAAACGACATATATAAAAATTGAAAGTCCTAAGAATGAGTAATCGTTTGTGGTGTCGTGAATGTAGCCGATACCTATCACGGCGCGTGTTGGCGTGATCAAACATATCTATAAAGGAAAATGTTCCGTTTTGCAGATTGTACGAGCGATAGACGAGTTATGTATGATTGTTATTAGATTAGATATTTGATGAGTAACATTAGTGGTGTGATAAAGTTTATTAATTTACCTACCTAAGAGTACCTACCATTAAAAAGTTTAATAATTTTCAGAATTTTATCTGGAATAAATTTTCATTTCAATAATTTAGAAAACTTAGGCTCTACTAATTAACTACATAACTACGGTTTTTTTTATGTTTGAGGGGGATTATGCCCGCCCATGAACGTCTGCAACACAGGAGTCACAAACGCGTTGCCGGCCTTTTAGGTACGCTCTTTTTTTGAAGGTTGCAAACTTTCGTAAAAAACGACTGTTTTCTTAACGGGAATGGACTTTAGTGCATTTGCCTAGATTAGCTTCTACTACGGGATTCTAGGACAAGGACTAAATATACTTAATACATAATTCTATACTTCAAGTAATATACGCAAACACACATACACAAACATACACACACACACTGACGCACACACGCCCACACGAAAGCGCATACTGATAAAAATAAAACTATGAATGTTTTTAATTGGCAAGATGTTTTGTGTATTTTTTATTTTTGTGTTTTTTTATTTTATTTTTTTAATTTTTCTTTTGCCAATAACTAGACATAAGCTTGATCCAAACTTTGTACTATGGGGGGCCTGGCAATCTGTGTGACAGGGTTTCCTAGTGCAGATGCCAGTCTCCCACAATGGTCTTGAGCAATTACTGTAATAACCTAGTATTAAGTAATCTTTGTGGAAGAGAAAATAAACTTTATCTTATACTTTACGCAAGAAACACTAAAACGTGCAAAGAGGATTGAATCGAAATTTTAACAGTGTTTTCTGCAAAATTAATAATTTGAAATTGAAGACCCCTTAGTCTTATTGGTTATATATAAATTCTAATAATCAAGTAAGTTATTGGTGTTGACATTTACCCTGTTTGCGTGGTGTGTTGATCCAGGCAAGGTGAGTGAAGTGAGAGTCGGTGGATGCTGCGAGGACCTCGCAGCCGATCTTGCGGAAGTCGTCCGCGCGCTCAGAGAATGCGATGATCTCCGTCGGACAGACAAACGTGCTGCGGACACAAACAACCAAACACATAAATATTTTTTTTACAATCTATGAACATTCTTATTATTTGACTGGTCAGTTGGGTTCGTGGTTAGTGACCCTGACTGGTAAAACAGAGGTCGGGTTCGATTCCTACGCAGGGCAAGTAATCGTGTACTGAGCACGATTATTCTGGGTCTGGGTGTAATAAATCTTGTGACTTTTGAGTTGTAGGTGTCCATGGTCTGCTCGCTTGCCCCCTTATACCATAAAAAAAAGAAATAATTCAAAAATCATAAACATTTTATCTATAATATGTATGTTTGTATTTAGAAAGACTGGTAACTAAAGCACAAGTTCTGCCTAGTTTGGGATCTGAGGGCCGTGTGTGCGATGTGTAAATATAATATTATCGTATTAATCTATACTAATATTATAAAGCTGAAGAGTTTGTTTGTTTGTTTGTTTGAACGCGCTAATCTCAGGAACTACTGGTCCGATTTGAAAAATTATTTCAGTATTAGATAGCCCATTTATCGAGGAAGGCTATAGGCTATATATCATCACGCTAAGACCAATAGGAGCGGAGCACCAATGAAGAATGTTTCAAAAACAGAGAAAATTTATTACTATTGAGAGACGCAGACGAAGTTGCGCGGGTCAGCTAGTATTATGTAAAGTTCGACAAAGAGAAGGAAATCTTGAAACAATGCCAACCCGTGTATAGTAGGCCAAAACCTATTTTCTAAAAAGAGGCCTATGTCCAGCAGTGGACTATTAAAGGCTGATGATGATGATGATGATTGCTGAAAGTTTGCCAGTAAATGTAATTATATTATTCAATTATAATATTTTAAACATAAACCTCTGAACTCGTGGCAATAAAAGTGCGACCACCGTTATGTTATTTAATTTGTGTTGTCTTATCTGAGCTGGTGGTGATAGAAGGGTCAGAGTGGTTCCAGAAATTAAATATTAAGATAATTATGATAACATTTTGTACAATTCATCTTACTACGTTTTTAATTAAATAAAAAGATAAACAACACTTATCGTGTATTGCCCCAGGAAGATGATTTTTAAAAACATTGAAGCAATGTTTTAATTGTTCTGATAAAACAAAAAAATAAACTAATTCTTCTTCTTTTTTGTAATCATTCAGGAACTTGCATCTTTTATTCCAGAAGGGATAGGCAGGCCTATTAAACGCTCACACGATAGTCGTCATATTGGTATAGTTTTGAACAGCCGGGCACATAATTTAAAAAAAAAACTTATGGATTTCTAAATACATACATATTTTAAATAAATTACACCCAGAAACAGAAGAAATGATCGTGTTCATCAAAACAATTTTTTTGTCCTGGATGGGAATCGAACACAACCTGTGGGTTAGCAGTCAGGAGCGCTAAGCACTATACCAACAGATTCGTAATTTAATTTTTTCAGTTTCGATATTACTCCAGAAAACCTTTTTATTTTGTTATCTACCCTATCCGTTTTCTAACCCAAAATGTTTCTTCTTTTGTCCTTTCTGAAGAGGATTACATACCACGCTAAGAGGTAGGGCGTTGGGCAGGAAACATTTCAGAACATATTGCGCTGAGCCAAAATGTAATCAAAACGTAAAAAGAAAAAACACCTTTTTTGTTTAACGCAGACATTGCAAGCAATTAAGGAATGTCTGTGTTTTAATTCCATTGCGTGCAATGCCACTGCGAAGAATGTATGACGCGACATTGGTGCTAATTCTATTGTTCGAAAACTCTCTAAACTAAACTAAAAATCACTAAAACTTTGTTTAGTTCTGTCAAACAACGTTCACTATTCTGAAAACTTAATATTAACGTACAGGACAAACATTTTTTAGTGATTTTTAGTTCAGTTTAGAGAGGTTTCGAACAGAATTAATGGGCACCTTTGTATAGCACTGTTATAACACAGCAATGTAACGCATAGTTACTTACTGACTAGACTATTGGATGTTTTGAATTTCCCACATCTGAATCAACATGTTATAAATACAGTATATTGATTTCCTTATAACAATACTCGTATTACATCAATTTAAATAATACGATACCGATAATACATAATTTGACTTAATTAATCCGCTTATTTTGAGATATTTGGTAATTAAGTAAATGTTTGCAATTAAGTAAATTCATCAATCCGTTTACGTACGGTTTTGTAACCGACATAATCATGGTTAACACAAGGTGGGTCCCGGCTTTGTATATTCACTTAGTTAGTATTAAGAATATTGAAGAGTTTAAGTCAATTTTACCCCATACCCCATGACTCAAAGGCAAAAAAAATTGACTCCTTTGAGCCAATTTACATTCATGCCCAAATATAAATAGTTAAGAGTAAACCTCAGTTTTAATGTACCATAACATCTTAAAACCAATGTAACATAATGCCCACCGTAAAGTTACCGATTTCATATGTTTTCATACTCTACACAATTTATCTTCTCGAACTACCAAATAATACGGAGTTCGAGGCCGAACTCACGGTTTAACAGAAACGAATTACCAACACTAGGATAAAAGTTTAAACGGACATAATTGTGTGCTTTTAAATTGCATTTACAACAACACTCACACACTTTAAAGTCTTAGTGTGCGCGGTATTATCACTTATATAATTAAATGCATTCACTTAATAAATTACGGAATAAGAGATGGTATAAAAACGCAATTAAGACTACTTCGGACACAGATAGCTGAGTAATGGACAGTACCATCGCCTTTCCACACAGGAGGGGGTCATCTACCCGCCGTAGATGACATGAGGTACGTCGGGGTACCAGGGATTTCCTTTCTAAGGTACACCAGGGCCTCAATTCTGCTGTTTTATGTTCACGCCAAGCCACTGTCATACGTTTTTTTGAGGAAATGATTTTTTAATTTTTCCAAATATGGCAATCTTTTTGATATCACCACTGATGAGCCACTGTAAAGACACTGAGTAAGTGTAGACTACCGATATTTATACCGATGCCAATGGCCACTCGATGGCATCTCAATAGCGTGTCAGTGGTATGACACTGGCTTGGCGTGAACATAAAATAGCAGAATTGAGGCCCTGGTTCCCCGGCTACTGGTACCCGAGACGGCGTGCGGTTTTTAGTCAGTTCGAGTCCGACATAGCCACCGGTAGGAGATACCCGAGGGGATTTCCGCACAGAAAAAAAGTACCATCGCCTTGCTATTAACTAAATTTTAATTTTCGTTTTTCTTGGTTGTTTCATTGGTTATACGTGTAGTGACGCATATCGGATGACGCATGACGGATTTAGAATACAGACTGTCACCACCACTATTCATCCCGTGGGTGTCGTTAGGGCCGACAACATCACTGCATAAAGGAAAACTTGAAACTAACTCTATACCGACGTGTCTGACCAGGTGTTATAGAAGGCCAAAACCTCCATTGTAAGGAGAGGCCATATGTCATATGTCCAGCAGTGGACTGTTAGGGGCTGTTGCTGATGATGATAATTGTTTCATAAATTTAATCTCCAAGCAAAGTGCATGATCAAAAATACTCAAGATGTAAATAGAAGTTCAAAAAATGGAAGTAAAGCATCCAATCGTTTGTGTTGTGATGAATTATGCCGAAATCAGCAACAGTCATCAACGACTGCAGGAATAAATGACCAAAAATATGATATTAATTTGTCCGGGTGCCAGAGGCCTGGAGATCAGACCGTCGTGAAGTCGTGGGCGTGATTTCCATCCAGAACAAATAATTACTTTGTATCTAGGTGCAATTTTTCTAGAAAATACATGGTTTATCAGCAGTCTGGTTATCATAGTATAGGTTCTGCCTTGGGTTTAGTCATGTGTGAGTGTGCATTTTTTTTATGGTAAGGGGGCAACGAGCAGCAGGGTCCCCGGGCGGGTAAGTGATTACCGCCACTCATGGTCACCTGCAACCACTCCTTAACTTAAATTCTCGTTCCCCCCGAGAATTTTAGTTAGGGGGTGAAGGGGCTTATTTAGGTTCTGGTCAATATGACTGTGTATTATTGTATAAAACAAATTTACAGTGATTCAGATGACGAGTACTTTAAGCATTTCTGCTAGTGTTATACACATTCATCAATCATCATCAACAGCCTTTACTAGTCCACTCTGGACATAGGCCTCTCCTTAGAAATGAGGTTTTGGCCTACTTTACCACGCTGGCCAGACGGGTTGGTATAGGATTTGTGTCAAGTTTTCCTTCTCTCTGCAGTGCTGTTGTCCTGCGTATTTTGCTCCCTTAGTCGGCTCTTACGACACCTGCGGGACGAATAGGGGTGCTGACACTCTGTATTCTTAATCCGTCACCACACCGACGATATACACATTCAAACAAATGTAATTATTACTCACAAGTCTAACGGATAGAAGAACAACACCACGTATTTGCCTTTGTAGTCGCAGAGAGCGACATCCTTGAATTCTCCGTTCACCACGGCGGTGGCCTTGAACTGAGGAGCGGGCTTCGTCAGCTGGAGAGGCATCTTGTTGAAACTGTAAACACAAAGAAATATTGACGTTAGGCTTACAGACAGTAGGACCAAAATTGCCTAATCCTCATTAGTAGAGGTGACTTTAAATTATGGATGCCAGTGGACAATACACTCGGGCCTACATCTCGTAGACAGATTTGTGTGAAACGGCCACTTTTTGCCGATTATAATTTATTTGAGTTTTATTTTCTCATGTAAATAGAGGGGTAAGTTTATTGCCGGCAGCAGAGCTTTTTAGAAAATAAGACAGAAAATATCAGTTTACAAAGGTAAAGTAGGTACATAAGAAGCGAAGACAACGTTAGGAATGACAGTACTTATTTTAATGTTGGTTTAAACTAATCTAAGCATCTAGTTGCACGTATATAGGAACCACGCTATTTTTCATAAGCAAAATGTAACCGATGCTTGCACATTAGAAAACGTTAGTGAATTTTTTAAGGCATTATATAATATTTCTTTTCTTCTTTTTCTTTTTTTTTTAAAAAGACAACTCCCGCATTAGGAATAAATCCTGTGTCGCGGGGGACTTTACAAACATACATGAAACGGACACAAAGAACACCTAGACTCAAAACAACAATTTGTGTATCACACAAAGTGTTATCCCATGTGAAAATCGAACCCACAACACTCAGTAACCGGCGTGGCGACCGCTTAAACCACTACGCCATCCGTGCAGTCAGTATCATCATATATAATATTATATCATATATAATATCATCATATATAATCTTCTACCACATTCACACAACGCCATCTAGTCCTAAACTAAGCAGAGCTTGTACTATGGCTACTAGACAACTGATATAAATACATATATACTTTTTTTTGTAAATACATACTTATTATACATAGAAAAAAATAGACCAAATCAAACAATAAATGTTCATGCACATAAATGTTTGACTTGAGCGGGAATCGAACCCGCGACCTTTGGACCATCCAGTCGTCAAAAGACATTTCCTTGATAAATTATATTCTGATTTTTAGACCTAATTGCATTCATATTGATGGGGTAAGATACCTATTTATTTTATGTATGACCTTACATTTCGTTTAAATTCCATAGATTATGGTTCAAAGTGTCGCGCCGCGCCGTGTGAACTAAGCATCAATTCAGATCCAGCGGCAAAATTACCGAAAACTTACAGACTATCGATTGAATATATTCCTTATTCCATTTAAATAGAGTAAAAAATCGTAGGTAGAAGTTCGTTAACTAGATTGCAATACCTATAGTTATCGTATGATATTAATAAAAAGGCGATAAGTCCCGATTTACAGACATAATATTCATTAAGTTAATTCCATTTATTGACTCATAAATATCTTATATCCTCGTAGGTACAAGCTGTCATTGTGAATTGTTATGACACAATTGCACAAATTACGAGTGATTTGACATCATTTTTATATCAATTCAGCGATAAAAAGATTACGTTCATGATGTCTGCGATGATTAGGAGTACGCACAGTGACTGTATTCAAGGCTAAACGTCTCTGACGTCTGATGACGGATAAGAATACAGAGTGTCATAACCCCTATTCATCCCGTGGATGTCGTAAGAGGCGACTAATGAAGCAAATTAGGCAGGAAAACAGCACTGAAAAGAGAATTAAAATTTGACACAAACCCTATAGCAACTTGTCTGCCCAGTGGGGTATAGCAGGCCAAAACCTCCTTTCTAAGGAGATGTCTATGTCCAGCAGTGGACTATTAAAGGCTGTTGATGATGATGATGTAATGAATCTATCGTTCGTCAGTTCACTGCTAACTCCATTTCTAGCCTCCTCTTTTACGCAGTCTATCCATCATTATCATCTGCTTAGGTCTTTCTTTACGCTTATATAAAACTTTCTTCGCCACGTATGGTATTTTTTTTATAAAACCACTAGCTGACCCGGCAAACGTTGTTTTGCCATATACATTATTTCAAATTTTTTTTTGTCAAAAAATTATAATTGGGGTATAAAAAAATAGATGTTAGCCGATTCTCAGACCTACCCGATTTGCACAAAAAATTCACGAAAATCGGGCGAGCCGTTTCGGATGACACCAACTCAACTTCTACCACCGTGACACGAGAATTTTATATAAGCTTAATGGTTTACAAATACGACGCGGCTATGGAAAAAATCAGAATGAGCACAAGTTGCTGTTTTGAGGTACAAATAAAAAAAGCGTGGGCGACAAATGCTATTTTTGGGGATTGTATCTGAGTTGTTGTTTCTGAAACTGCTCGTTCTTCTTTTCGACTATACTTCACACCATTCTCATCAACTTTTAAGTCTTACCAAAGAGTTGAATATGTATATATAATATGTTTATGTATGTATGTGTGTGTATTTATCTATGTGTAATGTGAACGATGTATATTTGTGTATGAATGCTTTGGTTGATATTTTTAAATATTCACGTGATAATGCGTTACGTGTACATACACGTTACGCATTAACTACCCAACTTTTTAAATATCTAATATCCGTATTAAGGTTGTTTGTAAGAGATCGCTGTGAGACTATATATTTTTAAGTAACTTTGTGTTAACTGTATACAATAAAGATATAAATAAATAAATATTAAGGAACTTTCTATATACTGCTGATTGAAATAATCGATTATAGTAATATCTCGAGATATCTAAATTACGATCATACGTGAAGATAAGTGGGTAATTGCAGATAAATGATTGTGAATGAATATTTGTCAAGTAACGATGATTTACTGATATTGCTGATGCTTGGAATTTAATTTCTTAGACTCCTATCATACTTTTATGGGTTCCTTATTAAATGCTTATAAGTGAAAGCATAAGCAAACGCACATCAATAAACCCTTTTTTTTTTCGTGCGGAAATCCCCTCGGATACCACCTATCGGTGGCATGTCGGACTCGAACCGACTAAAACCGCACGCCGTCTCGGGTACTAATAGCCGGAGAACCAGGTATACCCTAGAAAGGAAGTCCCTGGTGCCCCGACATACCTCGGGCCATCTACAGACGAGTAGACGACCCCCCCCCCCCCGTGTGAGAACCCCATGTTCTTAATGACACCATGAGAGATAAGAGCCATGTTTCGTAGTATTAAGCTTTTGAAAATTAAATCATTTCTGTTTTACACTTCACTGGGGACTGTCGTCTCAGAGTTTAATTTTTTAAAACTCTCGCCTCTCGTCGTAATTTATCTCGATGTATTATATTTTTCTTAAATATGAACAGCCGGATAAATTGCTACTATATTTAAGTATTTGTAGATTGAAGACGACCAGCACCTGAATGCATGCCTAATAACCGTCCTTGTTATAAATATAGGTATTTCTCTCAGCTGTCTGTCAGTGACGTATTAGAGATATTTAACCTTGAATTATCTACGACAGACTTTTCAATAACGACTTTAAGTTCAACGATATAAAGTTTAAATTACTGCACGATAATTTGTTTAGTTTGGTATTGAGCTTAATATGACATTATATTATACTGGCTGGTAACTGCGGCTTCGTTTCCGTGGAGTTTGGATTGAACACGTTTGCCAAATTTTTCAAATTTATAATATATATATATAACGGAAGCGCTGCCTTAAGCCCGGAGTTCTCTGAACGCCGGTCGCGTGCGAGCGACGACCGAAGCGTGTTTCTTAGAAACGTCGTCGACGGCGGACAGTACGAGCACACCCGCGACATCCTGACTTTAAAATGAGTTTCAATAGTGAAAATGACGAATTATCCTTTTTCCTGGGAAGATTAGGTAAATAAAGATCCGCTAGGGGCAGCACCGGTGGGGGTACATGTTTTGATATTTTTTTTTGATTACAACAACGAAATTTAATTCCACGAAAAAAGGCTAATTGTTAAATTATTTTATGGGATATAATACTATATTGTTCGATGTATCAAACAACCATTTATGTGGGTTGGTGATTTTATGAATATTAAATTAGTTGTTTTCCTTTCTTTGATAACATCACAAGTTCATGTTAATATACATATTTTCGTTAATTCTGCCCCGAGTACAAACACGATTCACGATCACAATCACGAATACAAGACGCTAGCGCCCGCGTCCAGAGATCCCACTCGCACGCGGCCGACGGCGTACGCCACCGGTGGCGGACACAGTTTCCTTACACACGTAACATTTGCAGTATTAGGTTAGCAATACTGGTAACATGATAACATGTTATATTTAATTAACTATGTTAACGAACGGTTACACCAGCTTAATTATATTATATTCAACTAAACAGTCGCATCTGGTTAAGCCGCCTATACTTTCAAGACTCACTTTACTTTCAAACAATAGTCTGCAAAGTGAAAGTAGGTTATGAAGCAAAAAATAAGAAAGTACGCCTTCTGTGGCTGTAGCGTTTCAAAGTTTTAGTGTATAAGTGTTTTTCTACTGTTATAATTTAAAATAACTAAGTGGAAACGATTGGTGTGTCGCGGGAATAAGTTTTTTTTTATGGTATAAGGGGGAAAACGAGCAGACGGGTCACCTGATGGTAAGCAACTACCGCCGCCCATGGACACCTCCAACTCAAAAGTCACAAGTGCGTTGCTGCCTTTGGAGTCCCTCCCGCTCGAGTCAGCAGAAGGGGGAATTTGGGCTCCGGGAACCTCGCTCACACAGATTCGAACAACTATACCAGACCGGACCAGCACTGCTGTAGCCATCCGTACAATCGAAGAAACGTAGGAGTGAACTACTTGAATGACTAGTGTAAAACATAATCTTCGCTATAGACAGGATAAAATGCAGGGCGGGGAGTAGTCAGCAATTAGTTCAGAGAATCGACAACAGAATGCCAATTCTCGTAATGAAAGTTCGTACTCAATTCAGTTCAGATCAACTTTTGATCTCACAACTGTCATAAGAGGTATTTTCGTAGTAAATTATTAAACATCCAACTTTGACTGTAATATGCTAATTTTATATCGTAAACGTAAATTGAATCGGTAATCTGCTAGTCTTCATCACATCATCACATCAACAGCCTTTAA